AGGATGTCACACACTCTCTCTCTCTCTGTGCGTGACTAGCGTTCTATTGTCAGGAAATATCACAGAGTGTGGCATCGTTTCATACAGCGATGATCTTTGTAAGAGTCAAAATCTCTGCGGAAACAGCCCAAGCAGCTAAAGCTCTAAGTTACAGTGTGATCGTTATTTTAACACTGTGATTTCCAGCGGAATTATTTCTTACATATCGTGTTAAGGAATATAAGTTAAGATTTATCTGAGAGCCAGATGCAGTCGTCAAAAGAGCCACATGTGACTCGCGAGCCATAAGTCCCCGACCCCTGATCTAATGGATGCGTTATGCATCTAATGGATGCATAACGCACCGTAACTCCAGCCTCTACTTTAGCGCCTTATGCGAAGCGTTTTATTAAAGGTGCGCCTTATGATGCGATGCGCCTTATATATGTAAAAATAATTAAAATACGTCATTTATTGAAGGTGCGCCTTTTGATGCGGTGCGTCTTTTCGTGCGCAAAATACGGTACTGTCATTTTTCAGCTGTGAGTTCTGAAAGATAAAGGTTTTTTTTTCTCTCCCTCACCTCAGGTTTCATCTACTTCTTTGTCGGACCACAAGTCTTAAAGTTCAACTGCACCCAGAAACAAGTTGTCGGCGTCGAGAGAGCAAATTCCTGGCTCGGATGTTGAAATGTTGTGAATCCACGACGATCCTGAAAATCTTGATTAAATTAAACAACGAGAAGGGAAATTAAACACTGTGCTTTTTCACTTTCGAGTGGAATTTTAATTTATAATCCAGTTTGTCAAAATAAAAGTGATGCTATTCAAACCCGATAACGCATCCGTGTGGTTTTCATCCCAAACTTAAACTTTCCCAGCATTAGCTCTCGTTCAAACCTTTAAAAAAAATAAATTAAGACCTGTATAACCTTGTGGTGAAGATGTCTTCACCACAAGGATATACAGGTTTTATGAAGATGATGATGAGTGCTTGCCTGCTTATTTTTAACGTGTGTGTACGATGTTACGGAGATCCCAAATATAACTTTTGCTTTTACGGTTCTGTACAATAAAACACACTGTACACAGTCGTCCGTCTCAGACAGAAAGCCCCAACGTTTTATGGACAGAACGCAGCTAACATGATCCTGTGCTTTTGCGCCCTGTGATTTCCCAACAAACAACCTCCCAAATTAAAAAAAGTGAGGTATGGTGGAATGTGCATTTTAAAAACATGGACTTCTGGCTGTAGATTCCCGTTTTGGACTCTCTGGGTTTTGGAGCTAATGTATATTTAGTTCCATGATCATTGGCCATTTAGTTGTGCAAAGAATTGTCTGTAAAACTACTGCAACCAAGTAATAGTTGGTTTCTGTGTTTATCTAAAAAGTTAACATGTTGGATTTGTAGCTGCAGGAGTTTCTTTTTAAAAGCACATGTAGGACATTTTTCACGGACAACCTTTTTTTGAAAAGTCAGAAACGAGGTACGAGGGGGAACTGACAGTGAATAGTGTTGCACGTTGTGGTTGTGACCACCACAACACACTAACATACATTATATAGCTGTTATTTCAAAATGTGGATTTATCTTAATTTGACCAAATGGACAGAGAAAGACAAAATAAAACTGCTTTTACAAATTCCACACAATTATGTCAATGTTGCAGGAGTATTTGAGGGAGCCCAGTTGTGTTCCAGATGTGGAAAACGTGAGCTTTCACCCTGAAAAGGATGAACCAAGCTTGGCATCACGCAGCATTCAACATTTCTTAGGAAAAGAAACAAGGAAAGTGGAAACACAAGCAGTGCCCAAAAAGTGTGAACCCAACTTTTTTTGTAGCAGCAGCTTTGATTGGAAATGAGCTAATTGACATGTATGAAATGATAAATATGTGTCAAATAACTATTGCAAAAGACCTGCAAAGATGCAACTGAGCCGTTCAACATGCGCTTGCGACATCCCTGCCAAAGGCGCGGCGCGCATACTCACTGGTGGAGTAATGGAGAGTCGGCAAAGCATCACTTAGGGCTTGTCAGCATGACAACGCTGGATCTCCAGTGAGGAAGGACGGGGACACGTAATGCAGCCAAATTACAGCCTTGTGTAACTTCTGTGTTTTTAGTCCATGCGGGAGGCTAATGGGATTTGGGAGCGCTTGTGGTATGTTGCTGTTTTTCATTGTGTCCCAGAACAAAGTGACACGGCGGTGTTTTTCCAAGGTCATGAGTACTGGGTTGCTCGAGAGCTTCAGATGAAAAGTCACGCCGGCTCCGTCCATCCGTCCGGCTTCTCCTCCCGAGTCAGGCAGGGTCACCCGGTTGCACATCAGTGAATCTGGGAAGACGGTGTTCTTCATAGATGTTTACTGCAGATATCTTCACATGTGAAATTGATTTTCCATCAAAATGAATTGAAAAATACAAGATAATTTGTCATTATTGTATTAAACAATAAAAGAAATGCAGCTTTTGTCCATAAATACCAGATGTTTTTGTACAGCACAGCTGTTACCATATTCGATCTTTTGATGAAGTGACGGAACTGTCTTCAGTTCATTTAGGCCCAATATAAAAATACTCTGTTAGGAGTTAATGTCTTGCATTCAAAAATACATTTTGCATGTACTGATATTGTTAAAGGAGCTCAGACAACTTTTGATGAGCTACTGAGGTGTTTCTACCTTCGGAATAACCTGGATGCCGTTGAGTCCTCTCTGCATGTTGCTGTTGTTTTCGCATTAAAAACATTAAATCGAGTCCACAATCACGGTTTAGAATCAATTTATTCCATTTTAACATGCAACCGTTCCTGTCAGATATAAACATCCGGTTTAGCGGTCAAACACTGTGAATCCACAACCTAAATACCCAAACTAATTAGTGTTTAGCGGACCGCCACCCAGTGTACAAAAGGCGAACACAGTTCCAACGTCACACCCATATGTGGCTCTTACAGATATTATTAGCTGTATGTACTCTAAAGAATGAAGTGCAGAATGCACATTGTATTTTTTTATATGATTTTCTTTAGTATGTGAGCAGCATTTGCTGGTGGCAATTCCTTTAATACTCATGATTGATTAAATCTGCAAAGTGAACAGCTACCAAACACATGTAGTTGTGTAAAATGTGCAATGTTTCCATCCAAAATGTAATGAAGTATACTTACTGAGGTAAGCCACCCATCTTCCTTCACTGCACCAGGTTCATACATTTTTTTCACTTCGCAAGCTTGCATTTTTAGGTTGGGGAAAACATATGTAATCAGGAAGGTGCAAATCATGATTTTCTGTCTGTAACATGAATTAAAGTTTCCCTCTGAAAGAAAAGTCTGTGCAATGTAACTTTTGCAAAGAGCAACATCCCCAAAAAGCACATATTGCCCTGAAAGAAAGTCATGTGACGTGAGTTAAACCCACTTACTCATGTTTAACCATTAACCTGGACCATCAAAGGTCATCGAGTTTATGCCCAGGACGACGCCGCCTGCTCTCATTCTGCCTGTCAGGCCTGTCTTTAGCAGCAGGAGGAGACGGGCCTGAGAGGAGATTTTTATTTTTAATAGCTCCTCTAGTAGATGTTTGTGCTGCTGGGCTTTTTAGCCCTTAGTCAGAGGTAACGCAAGGGTCATCAATAAAGACCTCCCTTGCAATTCCACTGTACTAATTGCCACAACATTGCCCAGCTGGCTGATTATATACATTTAGGTTACAAAATAGGCAAACAATTTAAGCCATCAGCTGTTCTTGATCATGTCCTGACTTTTATGTTGTGAAATATGTCCGTCGCTCGTATGCTGCAATTTTAGAATTAGAACCACAAGGCTTGTTCTGTGCAATTTTGGCGGCATGAGAGGAGATCCAATTCAGAAAGAGAGCTGAGTCACTACTTTTTCATGAACACGGCTACAGAAGGGATTTAAAAGGACCAGGACGTTGTCTGTGTTGAAAATGTTCAAATGATGTTAACCCCGTGTTGTAAATTACATTAATCACCATTGTACCGGGAAAGAGGCGTAGCTCTCACAAGCACGTATTCAAAACCTCAGCTGATTAAAAAAATCAACATGATGGCTATTTACCACAATGAAGAGAGTGATAATAATAATAGTTTAGGTACTGTCGTGACGTTATCGAGAAGACTGATATGAAGTATGTGATAAAACAGATTTAAGATAAAGATGTTAATGATTTGTCAGAAGCAAATAAGCGCAGTTTGTTTTTCTTCTTCGTTGTAGGTGTAGTATATTAATGCTCTAAACGATTTCCAAATTATCTGTGTTATTTTCTTTGCACATAAATCAGCCACACAAACATTCAGATCTGTGCCACATTTTGCGATGAAGATTGAGGCAAGATGTTATTTTAAAGTACAGAAAGATGGAAAATTGAAAATCACAAGAAAAAAAGACCCCAAAACAGCTGCTGGGGCAGAAGCAGTGTTATTTGACTGTTGATGTCTGTGGAGGTCAGCCAAAAGGAAATGGTCGAGGAACATGATCCTTTAGTATTCTATATCATGTGACCTTGTTGACAGTTTCAGAGAAAGTACTCATATCTGAACAACAATTAGGCTGTAAAGGAAATACACTGAACAATGAAAGAAAGACAACTGCTTTTGGTAAACTTTGTGTTTGGATTAAAATCAGAAAACATCTCACTTTTGTTCATAGTTCAAACATGACATCAGTTTTTTACCAGGTTTGAAAAATTGTATGAACCCATATGCTTGGAATTTAAAATACAATCATTTTAAAGCTGAAAGTGATATTGAACATTATCTGAAGAATATTTTATTAATATTTTATTAATATTAATGAATTAATATTTTTGCAAGAGTTGCAAAATGACCATCGTAAAAGTCTGCATTCCGTATTTGCCATTATTTCTATTATTTAGATCGTAATCATTTTTTAGATTGCAGATTATTTGTAAACCAGCACAGCATAAACACGTAACCGTTCAAAGCAGACCAAACCGGAAACCCCGTTAAAAGTGCTACCGGAAATACTGTCCGGTGTGAAACACGGACATTCGTTCCGCAATCTAAATGCTACGTCGATGTTCTCGCGTTTTCTTTTAAACTAGATACTTATTATAAGCAGGAATATTTTACATGCGTATTGAGTCGTTAGGTGGCTAACAACAGCTTTCAGCCTCTCCTGAACAAATCGTTTTTTGTGAAGACGCGATGTGAAGTCTGTTGTGAAGGTTCCGGATGACACACGGGGACAAACAAACCGGAGCACGATAACACAGGAGTGGGTTTGCCCGGTTGCTACAGTTTTACTGAGGTTTGAGCTACTCTTTTATCTTCCGTTAGTTTTATAATACATTAGCAGCTGTTAGCTATTAGCAAACCGTAACTAACGTTACACAGAATACATAGGCTAGCGTTAGGTCTCTCTCTCTCTTCCCTTGGTTACAGTCGCGGTGTTGCTAACGCTTATGTTGTCCTGTTAGCTAGCTGGAAATATGAAGCGTTGTCGATGTTTCTTGTGTGTGACGTCACAGGTGCCCCTCTCCTATGGATTCACTCAACACTTTTGAATCAGAGATGGAGGCTGACGGTCAGGGGAACTACTCTCTGTTTCCCGCGCTGGACAGCATCGCGAGTCTATCCGGGACCGCCGAGACTCTGGAGAGGTGGTTTGAAAATAACGTTGTTTAAAAAATTAAAATAAAAACAGACGAAAAGACTCCAGAATACAGTGTGCCTGATTGGACAATCCCACTGGATTACAGAGTGGGGTTGTTGCAGAGAGAAGAGTCATGGGGAGTAATGACAGGGAAACAAATCATGACACAGGTTGAATGATCTCCTACCAAACCGACTACATCAAAAAGTTTAATTTAATGTTGTTGAGTTGAAAAAAATATCCATGCAGTACCTCCCGCGAGATGTCTGCAGTTGCCACGTGATGTGATTACTTTTTGAAATATAAAATGTTGCTATTTCACAACGATTGATGTTCATTGTGGATCAAATGAGAACGAGACAGTGGATGATACCGGCGTTTCTTCCAATTGCAGCGAACCCCCGAGTGAAATAGCAGAGAAGCCGAACCTCACGTGGCTCGATGCTGCACAGGTATATTTTATCCTGGTGTTGTGACATTTGTCACAATCAAGACTGTTGGGAGATGTTGATGAGGTGTTTCTCCTTTTCCCCCCATGTAGATCGTCTTGGAAGAAGCTGGACGTCCAATGCACATAAAGGAGATTAAGCAGAGGATCATCGACAGGGGACTCGTTCAATCCAAGTACAGCGCTCCTCTCGGTTTACTACACGTGTTTATTGTGTTCCATTTTCTCCATTTAGACTACTGATTTAGTTTTTCTCTCCTCGTCAGCGCCAAATCCAGCCTGGAGGCCGTCATGTACCGTGAGGTGAGAGGAACGTTTAAGACGCAGTCTGACAGCAGCCTCTGCTGTCGAGTAGGATAACTTGCACCTCCATTTAACATCTGTGTGATTTCAGTTAATACAGTACACGCATCGTCTGTACTTCTGTTACTATTTTTTCTCTTTCTCCATGTTATTCCCAACTTGCTTCTTTGGCCTTATTTCACAACTTTGAAATGGAAACATTTCAGAAAAAAATGATGCTCTGTGCAGAAGCCTCTGAACTGCTGCATCTGTTGGGGGCATTGATCTAAAGTAATTCAGCATTTGGGAATCACAGTTGGCTTTTCCAGCCCCGTGCATTGGCCTCAGTCTCACATTGTGTTTCAGACACAAAAAGGCAGCAGGCGATTCAAGAGGATTGAGAACAGAAACGGAGTCTTTGCACTGCTGGTGAGTTAAATGGGACACTAACGGCAACTTCACACAACCCAAAACGAGTAATGGGATATCAAACATGTTGAGCTTTAACTATTTGACTGTTAGTCAAGGATAAATTCTCAGGTGTTGCTGTTCACACAAGATATGGGTCCAGAACTGCACTCTGAAGATGTACAATATCAAGTTAATTAATAAAGGTGCAGGGTTTTGTCATGAAGATTCACATGTATCTGTCTCATGTATCAAAGGTGTCCACGCTTATCTGCTCTTCATTTCCTTTACATATTATCTGATTAAAGGTCACGAGTAATCCAGGAGGGCATAATGTTAAAGCAGAGGCAGCTAGAAGTTAATTATGTGATGTATTTATAGTTGCATCACACATGGTTGTACTAAAAAATAATACCTCCATTTGAATTTGTTTAGTCTCAAATATCTTGTGCACATTTTGCTTTCAGTATCTGTCATTGTGTGTCACACAGCGGTTCAAAGTTTGTTATTTCATTGTTTACATTTTATTCTGTACCTCCATCCACCACACGAGCGTCGACGTCGGGGTACCCGTGGTCCACGTGAAGATCACGCCTCTGTCTCGCTCTGCCTCCCTTCCCCCTCATAGACGGACGAGGAGAGGCAGCAGGCCCTGCAGGCCTTCACCGCCCAGTCCTTCCTCGGCTCTCCGCAGCACAACACCTCCTCCAGTTCTGGCTCGGGGGCCTCGGGCAACGCCTTCCCCTCCCCCACCAGTTCTTCGGAGCACCGGGCCAAGATGAAGAGAGGCCCGCGGCAAAAGCAAAATGAAAAGTACCAACTCAAGTACCTCAGACTGCGCAAAGCAGCCCGCACTATGATATTTGTGAGTAAACCTGTGATTCCTGAACGGCCGTAGTTTTCTTTCACATCAGGCAAACGGGGTATTTTTAAACCTTTTTTCCCCCTTCATAGTCACTCTAGATGCACGACTCTCAGCGTTGCTGTTCTGTTTTACCCGCAGGAGAATGCAGCCCTCCGTGATGAAGTCGCCCACTTAGAAGAGAAGTTTCTGAGAGCCAAGGAGGAGCGGAGGCGAGTGAACATGTTTCAAATGAAGCAAATGCTTTGCACAGTGTTCTAAAAATGGCTGTGTTTAGCAAGGAGCCTCTGGTGCATCCTCACTTTATCCGTACTGCTTCACATTCACAGGTTCCTACTGAAGTCCTTGCTGCAGTACCAGTCTTTTTCAGAGGGGGAGCTACTGCCCACACCTAGCGCCAGCTCTCATCCACCGCCGGGCGCATTGACCTCGGGGGCTGCAGGGGCTTCAGGCCCGTCCGGGGGGCACAACCCGGCGTCGGTGGCTTCAACAGGGGAAGACGGACCGCTTAAAAAACCCAAGAAGGAAAGGAAAGAGCGAGGCCGGGAAAATGGGAAGGAGGAATGTGAGTTGATGCAGATTTGATTGGTTCACGTTCTCCTTTCGAGACGTTGGGTCCTGTTGTGACGTTGTCTCGTGTGTGTGCTCAGTTCCAAAGAGGATGTCCAAGAAGAGAAAGCTGGCCGACGGGTCTCGCAAACTGGTGCAGCCCATCGCTCTGGACTCGTCTGGTCGGCCCGTCTTCCCCATTGTTCTGGGCGGTTTAACGGTCTACAGCCTGGGAGAGGTCAGTGTCTGGCTTTAATCACAGGCCACAGCTTTATAATCACCACGCTGCCTTCCGGTACGCCTCCAGACTCCTGCCGCTCGTGCCATGTTCTTTATGCAGTGCTCCGTTCTTACTAAAAAGGTCTAACCCGGCCTCAACCAAATCAGGAAAAAGCTTCACCAAATCCCATATGGTTGCTCTCCAGATCGTCACGGACAGAATGCTGTTCCACGACGAGTGTGCCATCTACCCGGCGGGCTTCTGCAGCACTCGGGTCTTTGCCGGCATGAAGAGCCCCGACCAGCAGTGCCTGTACACCTGCCAAATCAAGGATGTGGGAGCCGGGCCGCAGGTACACACGCCGTTCTTAGTACCGTAGTTTAGATGAGATAATGTAGGAAATGTTTGAAAAAACGAAAAGTTAATTTCTCTCACTCATGTTATCCAACATTGTGCCACCAGTTTGAGATCGTGCCTGAAGAAGATCCCCAGAATGCCATCGTGGCGTCGTCGGCCCTGACGTGCCACGCCAATCTACTGAAGGCCATCGCGTCCGTCAGGTACCCACCTTCCCTTCAAAGGCCTGTGTATACTTGTGTTGCATTTTAGGTTTCTAACTAATCTCACCGTGTCCTTTTCTTAGTTCCAAGTCTGTGGCGCCTATCGTGCCATCGGGGGCGGACTTCTTCGGCTTCTCGCACCCCACCATCCAGAATCTCATCCAGAGTTGTCCCGGAGCGCGCAAATGTAGCAAGTAAATAAGCAGAACGCACCCTCACTCCATACGGGATACAGACCCCGACACGCAGCACGCACTCTGCATCTTTTCTGACTTGCATAGTACGATTTAAGGAGGGCCGGAGATTTGTTTTCATGTTTTTGTTTCTTTGGGTATTTATTATTATGAGTCATTCAATTATCATGGATATTATATACTTTCGTGGTATTTCAAACATAGAAGCAGGAGTCACATTTTCAACATACTGATGTAGTCACTGTGAATTTTCCCTGTTTTGCTGTGACTATCCATTGAGCCCCTACTGTCATTTTGTGAAACCTGTTTTAGCTACCGATGGATCCGCTTTGAGGTGTGTCGCTCAGGCGAGGGCCAGGTTCCCAGCAGCCTATCAGAGGACGACGCCTCCGTCAACTTTGAGGCCTATATGAGACATCGAGGCTTTGATCAGAACATCAAGACGGAGCACATGACAGGTGGCTTAAAAATATCTGTTTTGGTCTCCTTAGGCCGGTTAGGTCACTGGACTTGTAGTTGTGTGAACTCGTGTGTTGTGTAACGCTGACATGACGGCGTTCACTCTTCCTCATTTTGTTGTTGTTGTTGTTTTGTTGTTTCCTCCATCAGGACAGGCGCCGCAGTCCCCTAGCACGTCTCATCAGCACCACCTGCCCTCCCCCGCCATGAAGCCCTCCACCTCCTACTTCAGCTCCTGATGCTCAGAGGGAATCGGCCGGTGACTCCAGACAGCTGTACTGAACGTGTGGAGGAATAGCTGATGCAAATGAACCGGATGTGGCTGCTGAGCCAGTAAGAGAAAAACACCTGATGACAAAACCATTTCTGTACGCGTTTGAATACGTGCTGGATATTTGAAATTGAGTCCCGGTTGACGTCAAACTTGAACTGAAATGAAATAAGTACAATGCTTTCCTTCTGTGAGTTTGGGTAAGTTAAATTGGTAATGTTGTTGTTGGTAATATTCTTAAAGTTGCACTATATTTTTTAGTGAGAATAATTTCAAATTAATATTTTTTTTACTTTCCAGTTGAAGCTTTGGCCTTGAATGTAACACACACACTTAGTTAGTGAGCATTTATTGAATCAAATCACATTCAGTTATGAAGATAAGTGTGTTGTAACGTTGAAATTCCAGAGTTTTGTTCAAATTAAACATCCGTCAGGCTTTTCTACACCAAGTCCAGCAATTATTGGCAGCATAAATGGTCTACATGGTCGACATTGTGACCAACAATATATATGTAAACATGCTTTCAGTGTTTTATCAGATTGATAATCTCTTTAAATCCATAAATGAATGCACAGAAAGTAAGACGTGCAAAACATTCCAACCGAAGACCACAGAATACTGAAGTGGTATTAATCCCTTTGTGTAGCACCAAAGTGATATTTGCTGTTTTCCTCACACTTCCTGCTTTCCTACGGATTGCGAGCGCTTGGCGATGAAAGGAGGCGCAGGTAGAACCCCGCTGGCGCTGTACACGGGGCAGGCTTTGAAGTCACAGGGCCAGTCCCTCCATGCATATCGCAGGCCCGACACTTCCTCAGCGGGCGGACACACGTCGGAAGTTAACAGCACGGTGGTCGGGCCCTGCTGCATGATGGGAGATGAAACCCAGGCAGACTCGGGCCCGCATGGAGCATGACCCTCTGTGCAGCAGATCTTGGTGAAAGAAACATGTTGGGCCACTGATTGGTGCTTATTTAATTATCAGGCAGGAATTTAGTTAAATAAATTTATATTTAGTTTCGTGTTGAGAAATCCAGCAGATGAATATGGGAGACAAAAAATGAGTGCGCCAGTGCCGGCTTTACCTCAAAGACGTCCTTAGACGGTGTGACACGGACTTTCTGGTCGTAGGTAACGTTGATCATCTTAGAAAGCAACGTGATTTGCGTGGGGAAAGGGCCCTGGAAGGACACGCCCACCTCGCCATAAGCCACCGCCCTGGCTCCCAGCGTCAGTCTGTAGGCGACATCCTGCTTGTCCCGGGGATGGATCCTGAAAGAACCCCCCCAAAAAACCCGTATTATTTTAAACACACATCATGGGTGAACCAGTAGGCGAGACCAGAGAGGGAGATTAAAGCTCTCATCACTTCATACGCGAGCAGGTCACACCATCACTACCCAGAAAGACGTTTGTGTGACACTAAGTCTGTTGATTACAGCTGTTTAGAAGGATCACAAGGACGCAAACTGGAAGTAGTTTCGATTTGAGCACTTTGCTACAGTTTGATTGTATTAAACCCCAAAAAGTCAAACCTCCATAATGGTTTGTATGATTCTTTGATGAAATCCCCTTGCAGGATGTGCACAGCTCCAGATGTGCTACCATTAAACCAAATGACTCCTCTGTATGGTACGGATTCCGTATTCTCGGATCCTTACGTGCCGTAGGGGGATGTTTCATCGGGTAAATCCAAAGCCACGGCCATGAAGGTGTTCTGCATCCGGGAATTGGGGACGAAGCCGTAGTCCGCGGTCTGGTGCCAGCGGATGTTCGGAAAACCGTCGCTCTTGGAGCCTTTTTGGTCGGTGGACAGCTGCGAGGACAAAGACGCCCTGGATTGGATTCACGACACTGCAGATGTTTTCCAAAGGATTTCTGTGGGTATTTTTACCTTCCTATTGGCAAAACAGCCTCACTGTTTTGCCTGAGACTGTCAGACTGAATCAGAGCATAATCTTTATTTAATTAACACCCTGCTCTATTGAAGAAAACTTTAAACTAGCGATTGAGACCATAAACTCACCTTCAAATTGTTTACCAGGGAATAAAACCTTTCAACAGTCAGACTTCTTTTTGCAACCAGCGGCGACGCCCCCTGCTGGTCAGTACAGAGCATGAACGTCCACTCTGCCTGATTTTAACGTACCTGGACAAATCCAAAGGGGAAGTGGAGAGACGTCTGCCCACCCGAGCCGTGGTGAAACGCCAACCTCCAGTCATCAATCATAGCGGGGAAGGAACAGCTGTACTTCTCCTGGTGATAGACTGTATTCGCCTCACCTGAAAACAACACAAGGCTCACAGAAGCTCACAGAAGCTCACACACACACACACACACACACACACACACACACACACACACACACACACACACACACACACACACACACACACACACACACACACACACACACACACACACAGAACACACCTGTGCGGGAAGTCTTACCTTGGTACCAGATGGCTCCTTTGACGGTCATGTTGAGCAGCGGGTGAATCATCGCGTTCCATAAGACCGAATTCTCTTTCGGGCTGAGAGATTTGAAATGTGCAAATCGAAGCAGCAACAGTGCAGTTAGTGAAAGCTACATTTGCTTGGTTTCTTATGGTGGAATTACACAAGCTTTGCACAATCCGTTACCACACACATTTTGCTGAATTGTTTTTGTTTTCAGACTTTACCCGCTTCCAACCCGCTGCCGATCGCACTGTTGCAGCGCTCTGGGAGACGACCAGACTTCGACACGCGTGCCCTCCCAACAGGACTCCACCAGTCCTATGGGGTACTGCAGCGTCTCCTGCAAGTAGCGTCCAAACAGCCAGCACACTGCCGAGAAATCTGCCACGTCTGTGAATGCATTTTACGGACAGTGAACGACCAATAACATGGTTGCTAAATGCAACGACATCATAAAGTATGTGTTTTTATTACACTGCATCTGACTGAGTTCCGGTTCAGTGACCCAAACCTCAACATCCGGCTGAAAACCCGTCTGTAAAAAATTGTATGAATGAATAAACCAATCCCGGACTTACTTGTTGGCGGCACCGACCAGGGAAGCTCCACTTGAATCAAATCAATCTCCTCGGTTTTACTTTGATTAAAACCCGCCATAAAGATCCTGACGTGAGGATATTTCTCAGCTATGCGCAGCTCGTCTGATGCATTGAAAATCTATTGGGAGAAGAATAAGAAGATAAGTGCATAAATGCATAAATATCAAATAGAAAGTGATTTATGTCCGTCATGCTTCAACGTTTTTTGACAATCACAGCAAATGTTTTGCACTAAACCAGAGATGGAGCTCATTGAACTTTTTGTTAAAAAAGTGGGTTTTCTTCCCACTCTTGTGTAACCCGAGAGACCCCTCGGCTTACCTTAGACGTTTGTAACCACATGTTGCTCTGCCCTCCGCACAGCCACACGTCTCCAAACAGCACATCTGTCAGAGCGGCTGTGCTGTCCTGAGCAGCCGCTGTCACATTGTAGGGACCACCGGCCGCAACCGGGTCCAGGGTGACGCGCCAGATTCCTGCAACACCAACAACAACCACAAAAAACACACGCAATGGCATCATTGAACATGGGACCATGGGCACTTAATGGGCACAGCATCTTTGCAGCTCCCGGTGCTGCAAAAAGTCAGCTGTGAAAAAGCCCTGATGTGTGTTGAGGCTCACGTGAGCAGCTGTAAGAACTGGCCCTCGGCACCAACCGCTTGCTTCTTGCACCATTAAGAACTCCAGCAGCACCCAGGGTTTGGGAGGTCGCGCAGCCTCTTGACTCACACACGCATTGCCTGACCCTGGTTGTTTTTGCGTGGACGTCGGCGTGCACTCACCGTTTGTCACGTCAGCCAACGAGGTTCTCCGTTGCGAGGGTCCTGACAAGGTGAGGGTCACGTGAGCCCCCTCGGGCCCGTAGCCCCACAGCACGGCGCTCTCCGGAGCCTTCTGGAGCACCATGTGGTCTCCGTAGTAGGACGCAAAGCGCAGCCCCCCCTCTAGACACAAGCGAACACAAACACGTCGGTGTAATAAAATAATTTCAAATATGTCTATATATCTACATAAACGGCGTTGAAAATACTTTTAAACCAATTTGCAACGTAAAATCACATTGAAGTGTGCTCTAAACATATAGACCTTGAAGAAACTTCCCCTTTAAACCATTTTGCAACGTCTTTTAAACGTTGGGCGTAGACGTTTTTTAAATGTTCAGCCAAAACATGCTCGCGTGGAGGGGAAAATCCCAGAATACTCACTACAAAAACATAGACGGCACCACCGCGCTGACGGTACTCACCACCTCCGTAAATAGAAGCAACAAATATGAAGACAGCACCCAGTGACATCGCCATGGCTTAAAAAACATCAAAGTGACAAAGTCATTCGAGACAGCTCACGTGGTAAGTGACAGAATCGTTGCTGTGACGTCAGCGTCGGGATAATGATCTCCAAAATAAAAGCCCGACACCTCAAAAGTACTCAGCGAACAACTGTTTGGTTTTCATTCAAAATGAAAATTGAAAATGGTATATATACACACATATATCTCAGACATAAAATAATTAGGCAAAATATCTCAATGGATCAGATCAGTTGTTATAGAGTTGAACATCTTTTTAAATAAGATGAAGAGGAGCAGCTGAAGTTTGCGGTGCTGCTGAACTTTACTGAATTACCCTGACAGGTGTATATCTAATTTGTATTCATATTGGATGGATGATGGATGTTACTGACGTGAACATTTAATTCAGGGCCGTTATAATGGTTTCATAAAGTAAGAAAAGAGGGCTAGCACCAAAACTCGCTGAGGCACTTCCGGATGCAGGTTGCGGTGCCGCGGCTAGTCGTGGCACCTGTCTCAACCCTGCGGCACCTGCCGCGTGGCACCTGCCTCGACCCTGCGGCAGTTGCTGCGGCGAGTCGTGGCACCTGCCTCGACCCTGCGGCACCTGCCGCGTGGCACCTGCCTCGACCCTGCGGCAGTTGCTGCGGCGAGTCGTGGCACCTGCCTCGACCCTGCGGCAGTTGCTGCGGCGAGTCGTTGCACCTGCCTCGACCCTGCGGCACCTGCCTCGACCCTGCGGCAGTTGCTGCGGCAAGTCGTGGCACCTGCCTCGACCCTGCGGCAGTTGCTGCGGCGAGTCGTTGCACCTGCCTCGACCCTGCGGCAGTTGCTGCGGCAAGTCGTGGCACCTGCCTCGACCCTGCGGCAGTTGCCACGGCGAGTCGTGGCACCTGCCTTGCGTGTTGCCTCAGTCGAGAGAGGTACCTCGAGCGGTGCCTCGAGTTAAAGGAGCGTTGCCACGACCTAAGGGAGCGGTGCCTCGGCCGATAGAGGTACCTGGAGTTTACGGGAGAGGTGTCACGATTGTTAAGGAAGCGTGGCCACGCAGGGTGAGGGTGCTGCGATTGTTTAGGAGAATTGCCGCGGCAGTTTCCGTTACTTTTAGTACTTTGAAAATATGTGACAGTATAATACAGTTTAAGAACGAGTGTTATCTGCAGGTTGATTTGGCAGACTGTTGCTGTTTTCTTTTCATATTGCGATAATACTACACGGTCCTTAGGAGTACGAGTGTTGGTAGTTGTAATTGGTTTAGTCATAAAACGCTGATAAGATGATACAATGGCTTCCCGTTTAAGTTCAGCTAAGCTAATATGGGCTAAGACCAGTTTGCACTTGTTGCCTTGGTTACGATAACAACTTTCAGGCAGCACCCTGATGAAATGCAAATTGTAAATATTGATGAGATGCATTAACAAAATATTAAGGAGTTATAAAGTTATGAAATATATATATATATATATCTTGAACTTAAACAGGAAATTTTATCACTTATTGCACGTGTGTGTGTCACACGCTGCTCTTAGAGGCAAGTTTAAGAAAGACAGTTTTATGGTAATGAGTACTCACGGTCATTAACTGAGGGGGTAAAGTAGAAAAGGCCCATTAAAAGAACATTTGTGATTCTTCATTTAGGTCGCATAAACTAAATGTAGACTCTTTGAAAAGTTAGTTGTCGTTGTTCCTTAGTTTGACTCATTATGTAACCGACAGCATGACAAGGGCTGAGAAGAGATTGTGTTTTTATAATTAAAGTGTAATGGGACTTTAATTTACTCAGAGAACGTTTGGGAAAGTATGTAAACATCTCAAAATGTCCATGTTTGAGAAGATGGCTCACTCTAGAAAAGGTACAGCCTACATGCTGTTTAACAACAGATGATGCAAACACTTGAATAGCTGTTGCCACAGCAACCAGTCTGGTACAGGACAGACCCGAAACCTCACACAGCTTTGCAAGCATCATCATCATTTATTTATTATTATAGACCTATCAGAGACATCGGGGCTTTTGATGAGAACAACAAGATGGAGCCCATGACAGGTGGCTTAAATATCTCGTTGTGTGAACTCGTGTATTGTATAATGCTGACATGACGGTGTTCACTCTTCCTCATTTTGTTTCCTCCATCAGGACAGGCGCCGCAGTCCCCTAGCACGTCTCATCAGCACCACCTGCCCTCCCCAGCCATGAAGCCCTCCACCTCCTACTTCAGCTCCTGATGCTCAGAGGGAATCGGCCGGTGACTCCAGACAGCTGTACTGAACGTGTGGAGGAATAGCTGATGCAAATGAACCGGATGTGGCTGCTGAGCCAGTAACAGACAAACACCTGATGACAAAACCATTTCTGTACGCGTTTGAATACGTGCTGGATATTAGAAATTGAGTCCCGGTTGACGTCAAACTTATTGGAAATGAAATAAGTACAATGCTTTCCTTCTGTGAGTTTTGGTAAATTAAATGCTGTTGTGTTGGTAACATTCTTAAAGTTGCATCATATTGGTTTGGTGAAAAATGCATTTTATGAATCAATTTCCATTTAATAGTCTTGTTTTACTTGCCAGTTGAAGCATTGGCCTTGATTTTAACACACACACACACACACACACACACACACACACACACACACACACACACACACACGTACGTAGTTAGTGAGCATTTATTGAATCAAATGACATTCAGTTATAAAGATTAGTTTTGTTCAAATTAAAAATCATGCTTTTCTACACCAAGTCTAGCAATTATTGGCAGCATAGATGGTCTACATGGTCAATATTGTGACCAACAATATATATGTAAACATGCTTTCAGTGTTTTATCAGATTGATAATCTCTTTAAATCCATAAATGAATGCACACAAAGTAAGACGTGCAAAACATTCCAACCGAAGACCGCAGAATACTACTGGTAAATACTAGTGGTATTTATCCCTTTGTGTATTGAATATTGCATAATATCATAAAAGCATAAGAGGTAGAAACAGCAATTGGATGCCGAAGAAATATCAAAAGTTGAGAGTGTGAAGAAAAAACAAGGAAGAAACCAAAAATATTCAAGTCAAATAAAAATGCAAACCCATTCTTCCGCTCTAAAGGCCTCAAGTAATCACAATCAATATCAAGCACCTTGATCAATACGGCGCATCTGACTACACGCCCGTCCGATCATCTAGTCCCCGCTTTGTTTTCCTCACACTTCCTGCTTTCCTACGGATTGCGAGCGCTTGGCGATGAAAGGAGGCGCAGGTAGAACCCCGCTGGCGCTGTACACGGGGCAGGCTTTGAAGTCACAGGGCCAGTCCCTCCATGCATATCGCAGGCCCGACACTTCCTCAGCGGGCGGACACACGTCGGAAGTTAACAGCACGGTGGTCGGGCCCTGCTGCATGATGGGAGCGGAAACCCAGGCAGACTCGGGCCCGCATGGAGCATGACCCTCTGTGCAGCAGATCTTGGTGAAAGAAACATGTTGGGCCACTGATTGGTGCTTATTTAATTATCAGGCAGGAATTTAGTTAAATAAATTTATATTAAGTTTTGTGTTGAGAAATCCAGCAGATGAATATGGGAGACAAAAAATGAGTGCGCCAGTGCCGGCTTTACCTCAAAGACGTCCTTAGACGGTGTGACACGGACTTTCTGGTCGTAGGTAACGTTGATCATCTTAGAAAGCAACGTGATTTGCGTGGGGAAAGGGCCCTGGAAGGACACGCCCACCTCGCCATAAGCCACCGCCCTGGCTCCCAGCGTCAGTCTGTAGGCGACATCCTGCTTGTCCCGGGGATGGATCCTGAAAGAACCCCCCCAAGAAACCCGTATCATTTTAAACACACATCATGGGTGAACCAGTAGGCGAGACCAGAGAGGGAGATTAAAGCTCTCATCACTTCATACGCGAGCAGGTCACACCATCACTACCCAGAAAGACGTTTGTGTGACACTAAGTCTGTTGATTACAGCTGTTTAGAACAGCGGTTCCCAAACACAAGAATGCCGCGGCCCACTTTGAAATCTGAAAATCTTTTGCGGCCCACCCAAACCTTTAATCCCAACTCTGATCAACAGCCAATCACAATTGACCTTCTTAAATTCTCTGATTGGTTGGTTTTGAGTGAAGAGGTGGAGAGAGCGCAGCAACGGCTGCCTGCGCCCAGAAAACCAGTTTGTGGAGAGGGCACCTGAGTGCGCGCACGGAATATGTTTTTCTTTGCTAAAATATAGTTCTCTGTGCTCAAAACTCAAAAATTACGCGCATAGGATTGTGGCACAAAATATAACGCCATACCATAAGATACTGCAGTCTATCAGCGCAAATCACTGTCAAAATTCGAAAAAAGTCCGTCTCGCGCGAGTCATTTGCTCGCTCGCGGAGCGTGAACTTCGCTGCGATCGAAGTTCTCTACGCGCTCGCTGTTTTTCTTTCTGACAGTAAGGGGGCAGAGCCAGTCACCATGGTCTCTACATCTGATTGGTTACAAACCTCTCTCCAGCCAATCCAAGTCTTTGGATTGGCTGGAGAGACGCATTCACACAACTACAGAAGCCCATTTCCGCACTGAAGAAAGGGGATGGTAAGTCGAAATAATGAGATTTTATGAAATTATGAGATAAAATTATGAGATAAACGTTGTCAAAACACAAACGACACCTTTATGTAACCGTAGTGGACCGTAGATGACAACCAGCTACAAGGATCATTTACCATCATTACCGGCACATTAAGACCATTGCGTCCAGCTCGCAGACCGGCTGGTTGCCGCCGTAGCAGTCAAACGTTTGGCGATGGGGGGGATGGGGAGGTGGAGACTCAGCATCTCGCCGTCGCAGACGAGCTTTGCCGTGTTTGCCAGAGCGCCTTGAGCGCCGTGTACGACCAGTATGGATCAACCGATTAACCAATCTGTTCGTTTAAATTGTTTGTGCTTCATCAATTAATGTTTCACGTAACTAACGTGACTAACGTATTTTTATTTTATTTTTTTTAAATAAATTTTTTATTTTTTAAATTATTTTATTTTTAACGTATTATTTTTATATTGATTTCAAACTTTTCAAAATTGAAAATTTAAAACTTTAGAAGGATCACAAAGACGCAAACTGGAAGTGGCAGTAGAGTTTCGATTTGAGCACTTTGTTACAGTTTTATTGTATTAAACCCCAAAAAGTCAAACCTCCATAATGGTTTGTATGATTCTTTGATGAAATCCCCTTGCAGGATGTGCACAGCTCCAGATGTGCTACCATTAAACCAAATGACTCCTCTGTATGGTACGGATTCCGTACTCTCGGATCCTTACGTGCCGTAGGGGGATGTTTCATCAGGTAAATCCAAAGCCACGGCCATGAAGGTGTTCTGCATCCGGGAATTGGGGACGAAGCCGTAGTCCGCGGTCTGGTGCCAGCGGATGTTCGGAAAACCGTCGCTCTTGGAGCCTTTTCGGTAGGTGGACAGCTGCGAGGACAAAGACGCCCTGGATTGGATTCACGACACTGCAGATGTTTTCCAAAGGATTTCTGTGGGTATTTTTACCTTCCTATTGGCAAAACAGCCTCACACACTGCTGTCTGCCACGCTTCTCTTTGACCACAAGTCAACGGTTTTTATTAGAACGTAACTTTCTTAAATGTCTTGTTATATGTCCTCATTTCTAATGTGAACCATAGACTACAGATCAGAAGTGGACGTAGTCGCGTCGACCGATTAAGGGATGTTACAATATTTGGAATGCAGAGTGTACTGATTGAGACTAAATCAGAGCATAATCTTTATTTAATTAACACCCTGCTCTATTGAAGAAAACTTTAAACTAGCGATTGAGATGTTAAACTCACCCATCAAAACCTTTTTGCAACCAGCGGCGACGCCCCCTGCTGGTCAGTACAGCGAATGAACGTCCACTCTGCCTGATTTTAACGTACCTGGACAAATCCAAAGGGGAAGTGGAGAGACGTCTGCCCACCCGAGCCGTGGTGAAACGCCAACCTCCAGTCATCAATCATAGCGGGGAAGGAACAGCTGTACTTCTCCTGGTGATAGACTGTATTCGCCTCACCTGAAAACAACACAAGGCTCATAGAAGCTCACACACACACACACACACACACACACACAGAACACACCTGTGCGGGAAGTCTTACCTTGGTACCAGATGGCTCCTTTGACGGTCATGTTGAGCAGCGGGTGAATCATCGCGTTCCATAAGACCGAATTCTTTTCCGGGCTGAGAGATTTGAAATGTGCAAATAGAAGCAGCAACCGTGCAGTTAGTGAAAGCTACATTTGCTTGGTTTCTTACAAGAAACACAAAAAATTACAGTAGCTTGAAACCAGTGTGCGTCACATGGTGGAATTACACAAGCTTTGCACAATCCGTTACACACACATCATCAGGGGTCCGTTTCAAGAAGCGGGTTTAGTATAAACTCAGAGTTGGTTAAACTCTGGCTTGTTTCAGAAAGGGAGGTAACTAAAGCTCAGCCTCAGTCGCCATGGTAACGGATTCTGTGAACATAACCTGGTTGGGAGCAGGTTTTCTTCCAATAAACTTTGAGTTTCTTTCACAGTCTCCTCCCTCTGACAGCAGCCCAGCCAATCACACTGCGCACTTTCATTTCCTCAATCATAGTTTGTTAAACTTCCTACTTGATACGGATCCCTGGTTTGCTGAATTGTTTTTGTTTTCAGACTTTACCTGCTTCCAACCTGCTGCAGATCACACTGTTGCAGCGCTCTGGGCGAAGACCAGACTTCGACAGGCGTGCCCCCCCAACAGGACTCCACCAGTCCTATGGGGTACTGCAGCGTCTTCTGCAAGTAGCGTCCAAACAGCCAGCACACTGCCGAGAAATCTGCCACGTCTGTGAATGCATTTTACGCACAATGAACGACAAATAACATGGTTGATAAATGCAACGACATCATAAAGTATGTGTTTTGAATGACACTGCAGCTGGCTGAGTTCCAGTTCAGAGACCCAAACCTCAACATCCGGCTGAAAACCCGTCTGTAAACAATTGTATGAATGAATAAACCAATTCCGGACTTACTTGTTGGCGGCACCGACCAGGGAAGCTCCACTTGAATCAAATCAGTCTCCTCGGTTTTACTTTGATTGAGACCCACCATAAAGATCCTGATGTGAGGATATTTCTCAGCTATGCGCAGCTCGTCTGATGCATTGAAAATCTATTGGGAGAAGAATAAAAAGATTAGTGCATAAATATCAAATAGAAAGTCATTCATGTCCGTCATGCTTCAACGTTTTTTGACAATCACAGCAAATGTTTTGTCCTCCCACTCTTGTGTAACCCGAGAGACCCCTCGGCTTACCTTAGACGTTTGTAACCACATGTTGCTCTGCCCTCCGCACAGCCACACGTCTCCAAACAGCACATCTGTCAGGGCGGCTGTGCTGTCCTGAGCGGCCGCCGTCACATTGTAGGGACCACCGGCTTCAACCGGGTCCAGGGTGACGCGCCAGATACCTGCAACACCAACAACAACAAACAAAAAAAACACGCAACGGCATGATTGAACATGCGCTGCATACGGGACAAGGGCCACTTAGGCACAGCATGTGCACGGTGTAGGGGAAAGCACAGGTGTGATTAGTTCCCTTTGGCTGCTTTGAATTTAAGCTCTTGGTGCTGCAAAAAGTCAGCTGTGAAAAAGCCCTGAAGTGTGACGCCTCTAGTGGTGGCGTGTTGAGGCTCACATGAGCAGCTGTAAGAACATATATATATATATATATATATATATATATATCCCTAATCTGTCTTCTCGATGTGTGATATTGCTCGCCAACCAGATTGCGTTGGTATTGGAGTTGTTGCAGGTTATTTATTATGGTGATGACATTTAGGTGATTGTTGGTAGATTTTTGTGTTTTCATTCGGGAAAAAAAATAAATCTGTCTTGTCTTTCAAACGGCGTAGTAAAGCATAACATTTTCAGATATTTGGTCAACAAATCTTTGGGAAAAAAAGTCAAAATTTGTCATGGAAAAAAACAATAATAGGTCGTATAACATTAGACTACATCGGTATAATAATAATCATTATTTTTATTTTTATTATAGCATACAAGGTGCATGTGTGCGTGCTGAAAACAGGGCGCAAACCAGGCATCGCCTCCTACGCAGTACGGTTGTTTTTGCGTGGACGTCGGCGTGCACTCACCGTTTGTCACGTCAGCCAACGAGGTTCTCCGTTGCGAGGGTCCTGACAAGGTGAGGGTCACGTGAGCCCCCTCAGGCCCGTAGCCCCACAGCACGGCGCTCTCCGGAGCCTTCTGGAGCACCATGTGGTCTCCGTAGTAGGACGCAAAGCGCAGCCCCCCCTCTAAACACAAGCGAACACAAACACGTCGGTGTAATAAAATATTTTCAAATATGTCCACATACGTGTCATTGCAAACACCGTGTAAACATAGGAGGTTGGTGTAGGCGTGTATGCTGGGTAGGGAGACGAGGCGGAAGAAATTATGCACCTGCGGCGGAGCTACAGCTAATTAAGCGAAGTTAAAAGTTGACAAGTCACTTCCGGTGCCCTGCTACTGACTAGTCTACGTGATGCGCCGTGTACCCACCGGGAAAAGTCAAGGATGCCCGTATACCCATCAACTAAATCACGATGACACGTAACAACACCGTCATTCATAAATCCCCCCCCCACATCCCGACAGCCGGCCGGCCGGTCCCGCTCCCCCCTTCCCTCCCTCAGGGGAGTACGACGCCCGCTGGGACCCCAGAACACTCACTGCAATAACACAGACTTCACCGCCGCGCTGACTGTACTCACCACTTCCGTAAAGAGAAAGAAGTAAAATGAAGAGGGCACGCAGTGATGTCGCCATGGCTAAAAAACACCGAAGTGAACGTGACTCATTCGAGGCAGCTCACGTGGGAAGTGACAGCGGCGTGTTGCTGCACCGGTTATACATGTGTCGCGAACCGGAGCTCCGTCTGCTCAGTAAGGGTTAATAGCCGTGAAAGGGCGGAGGTGAATCTGAGTCCCTACGTCTGCAAACTGGATCGTTGCTGTGACGTCAGCGGCGGGATAACGATCTCCACAATAAAAGCCCGACAGAAGTAAAAAGGAAACAAACAACAGGGAAATGATTTCATGTCACGTGTGTGGTTACACTACATCTCACTATGAAAACACTTCTGTTCCTCATTTACATTACAGGTCATTTAGCAAAAGCTTTTATCTAAAGCGACTTACATTACACTCTAAACACATGGCTTTTTCACATTTTTGCCCGGGGAGCAATTAGGGGTTAGGTGTCTTGCTCAGGGACACTTCGACATGTAACATTTGGGCAGCCTGGACTCGAACCACCAACCTTGCGCCACGACGACGCAGGGGTATCTCTGTGTGCAGTTTTGTGTTAAATAGCATGCCGGCTGAGCCCAGTCTGTGCGTTTGTCTTTACTAAAGGCAGACTCTTAAAACGCTTCTGTAAACACACACCTGGCTGGTAAACTGTTGGATAATGAATGTTACAACTTTTTCTCATTTCTCATGCTGTCGTTTCAGTCCATAGATGTTAATTACTTTGTCTTTCCTAAGAATTGGACACTTTCTCATTAGCTAAGACGGCGAGAGCTTTATATTTCTAAATAATATGAAGAGGAGCAGCTGAAGTTTGCGGTGCTGCTAAACTTGACTGGATTACACCGACAGGTGTTTATCTAATTTGTATTCATATTGGATGGACGAAACACTTCAAATGTTACTGACAACAACATTTGATTCAGGACTGTTGTACATCACACTGCATTGGCTTTCTAATGGTTTCATAAAGTAAGGAAACTCGACGGCAGGTCGTGGCAACCATATATAAAGGAGAGATACCTTGGCGGCCATCTTGGTACAGGCAGCTCGCTCACACATAACAATTGTTGGTAGTGATACATGCACTTTAAATAATAACTTTCTCAATTTTCAACCGATTTTTAAACGGTTTGGTTTGTTATAAACGTCAGGTATGTAGTTATGACACTGCATGCGTATGAATAATGTTCTGTTTGATGTCATTTTCGTATGAAAACCCATGGTTGTAATTATAATTATTCATAAGTATAAGTTTAGTATTTCGACAATATGTGACAGTTTAATATAGTTTAAGTACGACTGTTATCTGCAGGTTGATTTGGCGGCGAGTCGTGGCAGCTGCCACAACTTCATCCTTTATCCTGAACTTAAACGGGAAGCCATTATATCACGGGAAGCCATTATTGCACGTGTGTGTGTGTGTGTGTGTGTGTGTGTGTGTGTGTGTGTGTGTGTGTGTGTGTGTGTGTGTGTGTGTCATACTCTGCTTTTAGGCGCAAGTTTCAGAAAGACAGTTCTAAGGTAATGAGTACTCACAGTCATTAACTGAGGGGGTATAGTAGAAAAGGCCCTTTTAATTTGTGATTCTTCATTTGGGTTCCATAAACTAAATCACTCTTGTAACCGATAGCATGACGAGGGCTGAGAAGAGATCGGTTTTTTTATAATTAAAGTCAAATGGGACTTTAATTTACTCAGAGAACGTTTGGGAAAGTATGTAAACATCTCCCATGTTTGAGAAGATGGCTCACTCTAAAAGAATAGATGGAAAAAAAAGATGGACACCAAAATAAAAAAGGTACAGCCATGCTGTTTAACAACAGATGATGCAAACACTTGAATAGCTGTTGCCACAGCAACCAGTCTGGTACAGGACAGACCCGAAAACCTCACACAGCTTTGCAAGCATCATTGTTTATTCAATTGGTTTGTGGGTAATTGAGCTCTGCAGGCATGTTTTCAATGATTCCAGCCCAGCAGTAATAACTTGAAGGGAAATTTTCCACAAATTTGTGCATACAGTTTGCATTTCCATATTTTGTTTGTAATCCCCTTTTCAATAATTGTCCTTGAATATTAGGGAGCAATGTCCGATGTAGTCTGAGTTATACGACCTATCATTGTTTTTTTCCATGACAAATTTTGACCCATTATTTTTTTGACATTTTTTTCTGATATTTTTCAACGTGATATATTAAGATTTTTTTCTCCATGACATTTTCAAACCTAATATCTTTGGACTTTTTTATCAATTACATTTTTTGACCTACCATTTTTAACTTTCTATTCAAAACAGCTTTTAAGCAAATTGTCTTAGGTCTACAAAGTACAAATACAAGGAAAATAGATCTAACATATTTGGACTTTTTTTAAAAACTTTTTTTGCCCCCCAAATGTTGACTTTTCTTTCAAAAAACTTTTACACCTATATCTTAAACCTGCTTCTTCTGTTTGGGTTGGACTGTGATGATTCTGCTGCCTCTCTTGCTGTGCAATGTTGTGTTTTCAGCTCTGTGATTGATGGTCCAGCTATATTAAATTACATTACATTACATGTCATTTAGCTGACGCTTTTATCCAAAGCGACTTACAATAAGTACATTCAACTACAAGGGTACAAACTCTGAAGAACAAGAAACAAGAAAGTGCAATTTCCTCAAATAAGCCAATTTACAATTTGCTATAGATGAGTGGCCTTATAAGTACAATTTAAGTGCTAGAATTTGTTAGTCTTTTAGTCGAGGTAGAGTCTGAAGAGGTGTGTCTTTAGTTTGCGGCGGAAGATGTGAAGGCTCTCTGCGGTCCTGATGTCTTCAGAGAGCTCGTTCCACCATTTCGGAGCAAGGACAGCAAAGAGTCGAGATCTAGTTGAGTGTTTTGCTCTCAGTGAGGGAGGAACGAGCAGTTTAGCAGATGCAGAGCGGAGAGTGCGGGTCGGGATGTCGGGTTTGACCATGTCCTGGATGTAAGCTGGACCCGATCCATTCACAGCATGGTTATATGCTATAAATACACAAAGGTCCGAGAGGTATGAGGAGGAGGCCTGGTTTGCACCCTGTTTTCACCATACACACATGCACCTTGTATGCTATATTAATAATAATTATTATTATTATGCTATGATAATTCATAAAAATTTAATCTTAAAATAATAATATTGTACCACTTTTAAACCTCGAATGATCTATTTCCTTCTGAAAATTAAAGCTCAAGTTCCAACTGTTTTTTTTTATCTGTAAAACCCATTTTATGCTTTACTATTCAGTTTGAAAGACAAGTCAAAGAAGTAAAGACAGATTTAGTTTTTTCCCCCCGAATGAAATAAAACACAAAAATCTACCAACAATCACCTAAATGTCATCACCATGATAAATAACTTGCAACAACTCCAATACCAACGCAATGTGGTTGGCGAGCAATATCACACATCAAGAAGACAGATTAGGGATACGTATATATAGTGTCTCTTCATATAGTCTTCAGCCCGGAATACCTGCATTTATTGCCAATACCGTCACCAATTACTGCCGCCTGCACACGTTCCCCTGGCAACCAATGAACTACTTTTTACACTACAAACACACACACACACATACAAATCAATATCGATTCACACACATTTCTCACATTTTTAGTCTCTGAGATGAATAAAAATCACATCTCCGGATGTGTGATTTGCTGCGTCTCTGTTCATGCAGACTGAGGTGGCATCACACCGATGTGACAGTGCACGTCCGTGTGAATAATGCCTTATTATATTACATCATGGCTCCACTTCAGCGTCCAAGGCAGTGCTCAAATTGGATTTCCAGAAATTGGGTTGAAAATGGCCAACTCTCCTCCAGCGATCCGTGGAATGGGCTCCGGTCTGCTCCATCACATTTTACAGTTAATTTCACGTGCACGAGAGATGCAAATATGTTTGTTGTTTCATGCATGAACCAAGATTTATGGCTGCTGTCTTGGGCCCTCAGAGGTCTCCTAACGTATCGGCTCTCGTCTGTCTCGTGATGAATCCCTCGAATTAGCGCCTCGCATTTTGAGTCACTCTGAAGCTATTAGTTGCATGAGAGGAGCCCGAGCTTCGTCTCCTGCAGCCCGCATTGCATCACCCTTTTACACCTTTAACACCTTTCACACTGACAACAGACAATATTTTTTATAGGGGACTGTAAATTCTCCAGTGCAAACAGATTCAAGATGTTCTCAATTTATTGTCAAATAAAGGAAATGTATTTATTGACAAATGGGAAATAAGCTAATTTTTCACAAAGGGTTGAATTGGAAAATTAGAAAGTCGGTTAGCTTAGCTTAGTACGATGTCTGAAAACGTTGGGGAACAACTAGCCTGACTCTTTCCAAATGTAACAAAATCAACTTGCCAGCACCCCTAAAGCGCAATAATTAACAGGTGATATACACTATTGTATAGTGTTTTTTTGTGCATTCTCTCCTGCATCTCTCTGGAGTACTCTTATCATTGTGAGGTTGCACAGGTCTGCTCCCTCAGCAAATAGAAGGAAAAAAATGCTTTCAGGGGAAAATCCGTTCATTAAATCCGGAGGAAGGATAAGTAAGGATGCTGCACTGGTGACACATACAAAACCGCCTTGACCCCTCGACCGCGATGACCTTTGAAGCAGCGGAGGGCTCGACAGTGAAAAACATCTGTGAACCGTTTTTAATGTTCCAGCCCGCACTGTAATGTGTTTAAAAAACCGAGTGGCTCGTACAAAGGTCACAGACGCTTTGCCCATTATTGCCATGAATTGTGTTCTTACAATGTGTGATAAGGGAAAAGTAACAAAACAAATGTTTCCCCAGTCCCATCCTGCCTCACATCCCGCTCCAGCACTCAGCCTCCTACTCAGATCTAAATTTGTTCCCGGCTTCATGATGGCTTTCTGCGTTGCATCATTACTCAACAGAGCTGTTGTTGTAGGAGGAAATGTTGCCGATCAGGAGATAAGTGCACCAGTGTGCACTTCTGATATTTAACACAAAGTGAGTGTTAGTTACCTAAGCTGCTGTCGGCTGGAGGTAGATGGTGGAGGAAAATTCCCCTCACTGAAGACACACTAGGTAACGCAGCACCAGTGGAACGACCCTCCAGAAAGTGTCATGATTTTAAATCAAATGGCAAACAAGGAAGGAACAGCAACAAGGTGGACTCCTCAGTACCACAAACCGAGTGAATAACCAGAAGGGCAACATGAAAA